TATCGTACCAAAACCTACCGTCAATGTTCTTTCACTTATACATCTGCCTTTTTTGGAACCAGCTTCTAAATTACAAAACCTACCGTCAATGTTCTTTCACTTATACTTCTGCCTTTTTTTGGAACCAGTTTCTAAATTACATAACTTCTTCTATCTCTCTTAGCAAATTTAAGCTTAAGACCTATTTGTTGCTCGGTGGCTGTTCGCTTGCGTTGCGCCTTTGATCTTTTTTTGAATTGGCTCCATATAAATTGGAACCCAGGATCTTCTGCTGTCTATGCAAACGCCTTAACCAACAAGACACTTTGAGGCTTACGTTGGAAGTTTTAATCCGATTAAAGGCAATACATTTCGCACTTTTCGCTATGCCAATATAACACTAGTATTTTAAGCACACACGTTAAACTGAGATCGATGTGATACGCCCTCTTCAGCACCTTAATCGACAAGGAGATCTTCCAAGAGATACTTTATTATAAGAAATGTAACACGTCAAGGGATAAACTCTAAATCGTCTTGCGGTAATGCTTTTAGTTAGTACCAACAGAAGGAACCTAATCATTCTTAACCTGTATTAATACATCGTTTATGTATTTTGATAGATTCAGCAGACATCAGTTTCAAGTACTACAACGGACTATACTACACCACACTTAACTACGGATGCAAGCACAACGGTATATTTATTAAATGTTTCAGCAAAATCACATTTAACACGCCCTTTCCAAACTACACAAAAAAAAAAACAATAGCCAATGAATGCTAACTGGGTATAATAAAAACAAAATATGTATTATATTTTTTTGGAACCAGCTTCTAAATTACATAACTTCTTCTATCTCTCTTTGCAAATTTAAGTCAAAGCTTAAGACCTATTTGTTGCTCGGTGGCTGTTCACATGCGTTGCGCCTTTGATTTTTTTGAATTGGCTCCATATAAATTGGAACCCAGGATCTTCTGCTGTCTATGCAAACGCCTTAACCAACAAGACACTTTGAGGCTTACGTTGGAAGTTTTAGTCCGATTAAAGGCAATACATTTCGCACTTTTCGGTATACCAATATAACACTAGTATTTTAAGCACACACGTTAAACTGAGATCGATGTGATACGCCCTCTTCTTAAGCACCTTAATCGACAAGACAAGATCTTCCAAGAGATACTTTATTATAAGAAATGTAACACGTCAAGGGATAAACTCTAAATCGTCTTGCGGTAATGCTTTTAGTTAGTACCCACAGAAGGAACTAATCATTCTCAACCTGTATTAATACATCGTTTATGTTCTTTGATAGATTCAGCAGACATCAGTTTCAAGTACTACAACGGACTATACTACACCACACTTAACTACGGATGCAAGCACAACGGTATATTTATTAAATTTTTTAGCAAATTCACATTTAACACGCCCTTTCCAAACTACACAAAGAAAACAATATCCAATGCTAACTGAGTATAATAAAAACAAAATATGTATTATATTTTACTCAAGCCCACTCTGTTCTTAGTAGCCATAGGAGGACCTAATCATTCTTAACCTGTTAATACATCGTTTATGTTCTTTGATAGATTCAGCAGACATCAGTTTCAAGTACTACAACGGACTATACTACACCACACTCAACTACAGTTGTCAATCCTACAGCCACAACGGTATATTTATTACATTTTTCTTTTTAATTTATAATTTCGTACATTGTAATTGCATTCATCCTTCGTTTATGTTCTTCCGATCCACATTTTATAGATTCAGCAGACATCAGTTTCAAGTAGGCCTACCACAAAGGATAATACTACAACAACAGTTGTCAGTTATACAGATGCAATTACAACGGTAATAACATTAAATTATTTAGATCTTGTGACAAGTATTTTTAGCTTTGTTTAGCGCTAAATTCATTGTTATCTTTGCATTTGTTAAACCGCATCCTTCAGATTTTTAGTATATCGTTGATCCACAGGGTGGGGGTGGTCAGGGGGAAAGATCCATGGGGCCAAAGCTTACCAGGGGGCCAACGAAATTGCAGGTAGCATTTGTCTTTAATATTTTTATCCAAAATAGTATTTTATCCATAATATATAATCACATGGGCCCTCAATAATGGCGTGAGTCCCCTAATAATGAGCTCCTCCAGATTGACATCCCCACCCCCGCCCCCTCCCCCGAAAAAATATGTTTGTACCGTCGGCAGTTCGCGCTCGTACCTGGGGCCCGCTCGTACCTGGGGCCCACACCAATCCTACCAATCGTATTTCCCCTCTTGGCGACCCTTCGTTGATCACATGGTTAATAAATCAATTGCATCACTTTGACTGGCATACCAGTATTTATCATTATTTCACTCTTTTTAGCCAAAAGTTTGTTCAAATAAATAATTTAAGATGTACTACTCACCCTCACGTTTTCGCCGAAAAATCAACCATAATCATATTTAAAAATTATCTGACACTCACTGAAATTATTTATATATTATATATTATTACATCCATCAGTTGATTGTAACTTTTTCAGTCAGGATTTCTAAAAATCCCTCTTTGTGCCTTTTAGCGTTCTGAACATAAAGTCGTTTTGTAATTAAATTTGTTTTATGAAAAGTGTGAGTTGGACAATGTATGGTTTTATAATTTTAACCAGTTTTATTTATATTCTTGATTGTGTTCGTAGTTTAATTGTAAGTTAAATATTAATAACATGCTTAATCATTTATTGTTGGGATGAATATATGCTTAAATATACAAATATTATAATAATATATATTGGACCATTTAGTAAGATCGTCAGTTCAAAAATTACTTCGTTAACTAAAGAACTTTGTACTGATTTAGATATTAAGTTAATTTTTACATCTTTTAAAATTCAGTTTTTGTAAGTTAAGGATCCACTTTCCGTTGGTGTTTGTTCGGGCTTAAGATACAAATTTACTTGTGGAAGCTGTAACGACGCAGGGGTGGCCTCCCCTGCTGTAACGCTTCCTATATCGGCGAAACTGTTCGCAATATAAAAAACATACCTAAACGAACATTCAAGAACGTACAAACATTCGCAGCCTATATGGAGTTTACTTGCCCCAAAGGGTGATGCCGGGGGGGGGGGGGGGGGCAGAGACAGGGCCCCGTCGAGGAGAAAAACCACAATTCTTCAGGGAGAAAAAAAATGTTGTACATATTAGTAGACTAAAATCGATTAGATAAGTCCTTAAAATCCCTAAAATTGCCAAATTTTTCGGGCCTTCGCCCCTGGACCGCTTTCGGAAGATTTTGAGTGACATCCGACTACGCCTACTTTGATCTTGACAGCGATATCGCCCCCCCCCCCCCCCCACCCCCATCGGGCAAATCCTGGGGCCACCCCTGTTGCCCACTGGCGTGCAGTTTCCATGCTGCAGATGAATATTTTAGCTTTGGACGCACAATGGCTTGGTATGCACGCTCCCTAACATTCCATGAACAGGATGACAGGTTTCTTCTCAAACACCGACGGGCATTGGTTGGTATATTCTGCACATGGCCTTTCCAGATGGTCACTGAAGATATTTGTGCTTGGAGGACTCGGTGATGTCTTGCCCATTAACGCTATAGGTAGTAAAAAAAAGTGCTTTTTAAAAACATGACGAAATTGATGTACCGGTATATCGTCAGGAATATTTGCCAGTTAATAATAAGAATCTGAATGTAGTTGTTTTTATTGGCACATTTATAGATTGTGATTTCTTTTCAGTACTTTTCGACCGTTTTCTCCTTTACATCAGTGGCGGCTTCAAGGGGGTCCAGCCGCCCCCCCCCCCCCTTAACATTTTCAAAACTTAAAAACAAAATCAGAAAAAAAGAAAATTCTACTCAGATTTTGAGTCTAAGAGTGCCATTTCCGGCCTCTAGGTGCCATAATCATGAAAATTGTTTCCCTCAGCCCCAACCATGGTGGGCTGAGGTATAGACCCTCCATCGGTGAAAGTCCTTCTATGGGCCCCTCTATTTAAATTCCTGGATCCGCCACTGAACATCGTAATGCAGTTTCAATTGTAAGAAAGAACCTACATGAGAGAATACTAATAGTCCGTGAAAGTCCTTCTATGGGCCCCTCTATTTCAAATTCCTGGATCCGCCAATGAACATCGTAATGCAGTAAGAAAGAACCTACAATGAGAGAATAATAATAGTTATCCAGGTTTATATAATGTTATTTAGACAGTTTGCGTATTTTTACAGTGCATGGTACGGACGTACGTTACGGACATGCTTAAAGCCTATACAACCGATACCAATTTATTTCACAATATTATAATTATAATTGGGGAAAGGGGCGCAATTTTCTTCTCTTTTCCCCGGGCTCCAAACCTTTAGCTATTCCACTGGTGACCACTTGGATGGATTGTGTGCCGTTGACAGTTACACATTACTTACGCCCGGTCAAGAAGCTTTCTATCCATTGTAATAAGCTCTTCCCTATTACCGTATGTCATAGTAATCGAGCTTGATGGAATGTCTACGATACCGGGAATCAAGTGCTTTGATAAAGTCAAGTAAAAACATCAGTTTGTTCATCTCGGTCCAGTAATGTGTGGCCTTTAGTTGAGTCTCGTAGAGCAATTTTTCTCTGAAACCTTTTTGCCTTTTGTTGGCATATCGTTCTCCTTAGTTTCACAAAACCGCTTCCATAATATGATATATATGCTATATAAGGTATATACATATATAAATGTATATAGTAAATAACGAATCAAATGGAAACGGAGTAGACTTTTACAGCACAATTTTATTTAAACATGAATATTTCGACCTGACCTTAGGTTCTCGTCAACATGACTGATTTATAAACACTATGTACAAGTTAACTTTCTCATCGTGAATCATATATATACCTTCCTCAACTTGAATCATATATATATAATATTTCTTTTTAAACAAGTAATACACATTTTTTTTGGTTGATAACATTTCTTTAGGTTTTCGGGCATCGTGATAGGATATAGCTGCTTATAAAAGTCTTTAAAAAGTATATAATAAAAGTTAGGTATTAATTAGTCAGAGGCTTTATCACCCCTCTAATTAGACAAATCCTGCAGCCACCAATATTACCTAAGAACACAAGCGATACGCACTCTGAGAATTCAAAGCCCGAATAGTTTTGACCTTAAGTTAAATGAAGGTCTCTTCTTGGAATTTTATGATTTTAGTAGTTTGGTTAATTACAGATTTTGAGTCATGGTAAACCGAATAAACTGATACTGATTTTGTTACTCATCCGGTCATATGCAAATTAGCCATATCTTGGAATACAGAGTCAACTTTTTAACAATTATCGAATATGCCTGTTTCTATTTTATAGAATATATTTGTATAAAATATTTGCATAAATATGTTAAATCTGAGAAAATATGGGTTCTATATACCTTGGAACCCACTGGTGGTAGGGAGATGCCTTGCTGTGAATCGAATAAACTTTATCACCAAGTTTTTCCTACACTCCGTTATGGAGTTTCAATATCTTTGCAACCAATAAATATGTTAGCATCTTTGGTACTAAAACTATAATGGTTAAGGAGATATTGCTGAACTTAAACCATAGTGTGCTCAGAAGTCAGGTCTAATAATAATGCCACGGACCAGAAATTGAGTGCATAAAACACAATCGCTACACCAACTAATAACAGTTGACGAAAAGGTGAACGAATGAATGATTTTCAGATCATGTCATTGTATATTTATGTTATATTATATTGTGCTTTTTAGGACAGTAGAATTACAGACACAGAAGAAGTAACTGTAACAACAGAGCCGATTGAAACGAATAATGAGAAAAACCAAGATGTAAGTTCATACACAAAATATTACTTTTTTTGTAGTTTGAGACCAAAATTAATTGAGAGCATCATGTATTTAAACGTTACACCAGCACGTGGATAAAACGATCCTAATAATCATCTTTACTGATTGCAATTAAAACAGAAAATAGATAATGATTTTCATTGAATAAAATTTATTGAAAGATCATTTACAGTATCAGTTTTCAATTTTAATAGTAAATAAAATATCGGACGTTTATAAAAGTGTATCATTACAATTGAAAAGGCACAATTTCTTTATTAACTCAGATTAACACAGTTGTTGAGATTTGAAAGATGGTTTTATGGTTTTGAGACATGTCAATAATGATACGGTTATTTTAAACAAATTTGACCAATTTCTTTTTCACAAGGTTAAACAAGTTATTTGGCATAGTAAATTGGGAGTTTTCTGTGCTATGAGCTCATTAGGGCTACTGGATTAGACATCTTGCATATCCTAAAATTACATAAATCATTAATATTACAGCGACTTTATTACTAAATAGGAGTTGGTGCAAATAATTATACAAAACACTCGGATAATGTTTCCGCCAAGTCCCTGTGTTTTGTTCACTTTGTTTTGTTAATAGCCTTAATTTCCTTCGTTTATAAAAAGTTAGTGTACTAAAAAAAAGTGGTCAAAATAGCTACGGTGGCCTACCAAACACTGTAGTAATGATTATGCGACTTACTTATATTTTTATAATGTTATCCAGGTTCTAGATCTTGTGTTTGTATTGTGGGCAATCCTATTGATAAAACGACTCACCAAGGTTGACTAACAACCCAGATTTCTATAAATTATAAGACGACCCATCAAACATTTCCCGCGACCTAATTTAGAGTCATCAATAGTTTCCGGCTCGTAGCTGGTAGAGGCGCTTTGTTTCTCCTGAACGTATAATAAATAGTAAATAGTGTTGTAATTTTAATATATTTTAAATGTTATCATGTTTTTGAAATAGTTGTTG